TTGTAGAAAATTTTTGTTTAAAAATATATGAAAATTAGCAATTAGTATAAAATTATTATTAGAAAATTGTGTGTTATTTTAGCTATAGCCAGTAATATTTAATATTTCCTTGAATTTATAATTTGAAGGCTATAAATTTTGCTTTCATTTATTGCCATTTTTATCCTGTATGTTTTGTGATGGGGCTTGGGAAGAAGGGAGAAACCACATTATGTTTTGGCTGTAGTAAAATGATATTAGTGAACATGAAAATTCAATTATATTTTTTTAAATTAGAAAGTATAAAATAAAAATCAAAAATTAAAATTTGCCACAAATTGATAAAATTGAGTGTTCATTTTTAGGGGGAAACAAAAATTTGCCCAAAATTGCTTTGACATTAAAGCAAAGTTAGTGTGAAATTTAAAAAAAGGGGATCTGCTTTCTAGAGAAGGGGGCTATGGTTAAGTCAATGTATGTTTGAGGCTGCTGCCATTATCTACATCATCAATATATAATCAATGACAATGTTCTTTTTTTTTTGCTTCTTATTTTCCTTGGCTTTTTACTTTAAATTTGTTTAAATTTATTTTTTTGTTTTGTAGAGGGGGTTTAGGGGCCAGTGGGGTGGCTGTAGTGTAACAGTATGGCTGCTGTTTCTTTTGACATGTTTTCTGTTTTTTTTTTTGTGTAATTTTTTCCTAGACAGTTAGCAGCTTATGTTTATTATCCTTCTTACGCATGCACATGGATTTTTTTTTGCTCGATTCTTTATAGGGGAATGAATGTAAGTGAAATGCCAACTTTACGCACGTAGACATGATGACGACTTATGAACCTTGAACAACAAGCAAACGCAAAAAAAGAAATACTTTACCCAACAAATTGAGAAATGATTTTGAAATGAAAATTTCAAAAAAAAAAAAAACACTCTTACTTATTTCTATTTGCTGCTACATCTATAGATTATGAATGTGCTTCATTATTTATTCTCTGTTTGAAACGGTTTGTGTACTTTCAAGCACAGCTATCATACACACATTCATACATATACATATGTATATAAAAAAACATTTAGGTTTTAAAATTTTTTTAAATTTAAATTATCTTTACAAAAAAAGCATCCTAAACCTTTAATCCTTAAACATTAAGCAACAAACCAGCCGTATTTCTTCAATTAAACTCATTATACAGTAGCTCAAGGGCAACATCATCATCATCATCATCGTCACGATGCTATATATTCCCATTTGCCTGCCAGTCTCTCAACAACAAGAAAAGTGCGTTTGTCATGTTAACACAGCAGTTTAAGTAATTTTCCCATATATTTCCCAAAAAAAAAAAAACACATGTCCTGCTGGGTCGCTTAAAATTGTCCTTGTTTTAAGTATGAAAATAAAAATATGTCAAATGGACAGTGTCTGCCCTGCCAAAAAAAAAACGAAAGAGAATAAAAAAATTCCAGGATAATAAGCTAAAAATAGAATAATTGTACTGGTTTTCACACTCTCAATTTTAAAACGCTCTCTTTTTTAAACACACGCACTCTTCACATGCTATTTAATAGCGGAGGGGGTCCTTGTGTAAATGAAACAATCAAGTGTGTGTGTGTATGCAATTTGTGTGTTAATTTCAATGACTTATGCTAATTTCTAATGAATAAACACATTAATCTGTCACTTAGGTCAGGATTTAAGTTGTAAACAGGATAAATGAAAATAAATTGAATTTGAATTTCGACATTTCTGATGGATTGCTACAGCAATAACAACAACAAAAAGAAACAATAAATGTCAATAAAACTAATATCTTTGTAAGATGTTTCATAAAATGATATTTCAAATAAAAGGATATATAGCAAGATTGTAACAGATGTTAAATAATAACTCAAAAAGTCGAGCACTTCAAAAAATCCTTGGAAACTACAACCTTTAAAGATAATTTTTTCAATAAAAACGTTAAACTTTTGAAAATAAAAGCATAAAAACCAAATAAAAACTTAAGAAAACAACATAAACCTTTTAACTGAGACTCCCCCTAGTAAAATTACCTAAAACTAATAAATTCGAACAAAATTTTAAAAATTTTCCAAAAAAGGATATATGTTGGGCTATCAGAATACTAACAATATCAACAAAAAAAGTATGCAGATTTATTAAGCTCTTAGAAATACAAATTGTAGAAATATTTTTTATAAATAAATCAAAAATTTTTAAATTAAAATTGGCAAAATATAAGAAAAACTAAGAACAAACATGTTTTTAATTAGTAATCTCCTTTAAGTAAGTAAAATATCCTTAGAAAACGAGTTTTAAAACAAATTTAAAGAATTTTCAAAAAAAAAAGGATATATGCACAGCTACTAAAAGGATAAGCAGATAAAGCAAAACAACTAGGGAAATGTTTAAGCACCCACAAACTACAAATTGTTGCATTATTTTTATATAATTTTGTTGTAAATTTGACATAAATTCGCTGAAATAAAATAAATATAATTTTTCGAAAGCCTTAATTATGTAAAGTATCGTTAGATATATCATTTTGTGCCTAAAAACTTTAGGTTTTAAAAAATTTGAAAAATTTTCGAAAAAAGGATATATGCAGAGCAATTAAAACGATAGGAAATTAAAGATAAAAACTATGGAAATGTTTATGGAACTTAAAACTACAAATTGTACTGTTAGTGGTATTGCAATCAAAAGCAAAATTTTAAACTAAAACTTAAATTTTGCCAGAAAAAAAGTGAAATGATCCCTAAAAAACTATTTTAGAAACTTATTCAAGTAATATATTCATAAAAATCATATTAAGTACAAAAAAACAAAACCTTTAAGTAAATTTTGTTAATTTTCAAAAAAGGATATATGCAGAACAACTAGAAAGATAAGAAATTAAAGCAAAAAACTATGGGAATGTTTGAGTCTTCTAAAACTACTAATTGTAAAGCTATTTCTAGAGAATTTTGTTATAAAAAAATTAAAAATTTCCTTAAAAAAGTAGAAAATAAAACAATTTGAGTTTTACAGGATCCTCATTTAAGTAAAATGTTCGCAAATGTTATATTTTATCTATGAAAACTTAACTTTTGAGTAAATTTTTTGCATTTTCGTAAAAAGGATATATGAAGAGCAACTGCAAGGATGTGAAAATTAACGAAAAAACCTACTGGAGTGTTTGAGGCTTTTTAAACTACAAATTGTAGCAACATTTTTATGAAATTTTCATGAAATTTTTATAAATAAAATTAAAAATTTATCCAAAAATGTTAGGAAATAAAACATTTTAAATATTTAAATTTTGCCCACAAAAACTTAGTTTTTTAGTAAATTTTTTGAATTTGCGTAAAAAGGATATATGAAGAGCAAATGAAAGGATAATAAATTTAAGTAAAAAAACTATGAAAAAGTTATGGGACTTTAAAACTACAAATTGTAACGTTATTTTTATAAAGTTCTGGTGGACAGTTTTGAAATAAAGTAAACAATCCTTCTAAAAACAAGCAAAATTAAACCATTTATTTTTCACAGGAACTTTATTTAAGTAAAAGGTGGAAAAAAAACTTACATTTAATTACTTTTTAATTAATGTTTTTTAAAAAAAAACTAAAAAAGTAGAAAATTTTTATATGGAAAACAAGTTTTCTTGGTAAAAAATATAACTTTTAAAGAAATTCTTAATAAATTAATATTCAATTTAAAGAGCCAAGTATTAAATTGTATAATTTATATTGTTTTTTTAATATTTTAGGTTAAAGGATATATGTCGAAGTCCTAAAAGACTAGCAAATCACAGAAAATTCGAAAGCAGTTTGGTCCTAAAGAGTAATATTGATGATTAGTTGCAAATTGTAATGAATTTTGATTATCTTTAAAAAAGGATATATGACCAGCCCCTGAAAAACTAACAAATCGTACAAAATTTCAATGCCGTTTTGCCCTGGTAAGTCATTGGCAAGTTTTATAAACATTTTGAAGCAAATTAGATTATAAATACTATTTTTTTAAATTTTCAAATTTTTTTAAGATTTTTTATTTTAAAAATATTTTGAAAATAAGATTTCTTAATGAAATTTGTTAAAAAATATATGTTATAGTAAAAAAAAACCCTAAAAATAAGCTTTATAACAAATAATAGTAAATTTTGGATTTCTTTACAAAAAAGGATATAGGAACAGCTCCTGAAATACTAACAAATTGTTGAAAATTTTAAAGCATTTTTGTTTTGGGTAGCAATTGACAAATTGTAATAGCATTTTGATTCAGATTGCTCAAAAATATTCTTCAAAAATTAAATCTGAAAAATTTTATTCCCAAAAAAAAATTTCAAAAATTTTAATTTAAGTAAATTTGTTAGTTTAAATCATATAACTTCAAACTTTTTGTGTAATTTTAGTGATTTTAGTTTTTCTTAAAAAAAGGATATATGACCTGATCCTGAAATATTAACAAATTGTAAAAAATTTTAATGCAGTTCTGTTTGGAGAAGTAATCCTCAAATTGTAATCGTAGTTTTAAACCATTTGGGTCAAAAACAATCTGTTAAAATTAAAAAAAACTAACTTTTCCCATTTTTTTTATTTTGAATTTAAAAGAAATTCTTAATAATTTAAACACTATTACCAGCAGCTTAACATGTACTGATTAGAAAACTAAGTTACTTAAAAAACATGTCCTTCTTATTAAAAGGATATAAGAAAAGGATATGTTGTTATAAGCTAACTTTTTGTTGTTTTTCTTTTGTTTGTTATACAAAAATATGTTTTTCGTTTTAGTTTGTTTTTAAATAACTACTAAAAGAGGACAAAGAACGAATGAAAAAAAGGATATTGAACAAACTTTTTTATTAACTTAACTTTGTATGTTTGCAAGAATCTGTTTATTTGCTTAATAAAGGGATATTTTAACTATTTAAGGGTATTTGTTTAACAACAACAAGTTGAGGTTAATAAAATGTTTTGTTTTTTTGTTAAAAGTATTAAGTGCTTTAAGAAAAAAGTTATATAAATTTAGTTGGGGACTTACCAATTTGTGGCACATCATATTGCCTTTGTCCACGCGCTGTGCGCAACATTAGCTGCGAGGCTAAACTATGAGGCGAGGATACACCCGCCGATGAGGCCAAACTGGCCGGATTTAAACCCGATCTTTTATGATTGGGATGCTGTAACAGTTCCGGAGTTTGTTCTATATTAGCTGCATTAAGTGATTTTTCCGATTTGCTAGCCGTCGAAGAGGAAATGGAGGAGGAGGAGGATAAGATTTTTGTTTTATCTTCTTTATTGAGTTGTGTGTTATCATGTGTGTTTTGCTTTTGTTCGGGGTTTTTCAATAATTGTGCTGCATCGTTTGGTTTGTTGTTGTGGCTATTGATTCTAGTGGTAGCGGTGGCTTCAGAATTGGCCAGTGATAGTTTATTACTGCTTAAAGTTTTGAAATGATGTAAAGGTGGTTGTTGCTGTTTGTTGTTATTCTTTTGTCCAAATATATTGCGCGGTAATTGCTGCTGCTGTTGCTGCTGCTGCAATTGATTACGTTTACGCAACCATTTCTGCTGCATGCGTATGTTATTGCGGTATTTGTTGTTAAATTGTTGTTGCTGCTGCTGTTGATGATTGAGATTTTGTAGTTTTTGTTCTTTTTCAAAGAAATCCTGTAGAACTTGTTGATTTTTATCCATAGCAGCCTCATGATTTTGATAGTTGTGAGTTAAAGGCATATGATGTGTTTGCTGCTGCTGTTGCCTAAAGCCCGGAAATTGTGGCATTTGCTGATGTTGCGGCTGAGGCTGATAATGATGTTGCAGTCTTTCTTTATTTTCCTCAGCCATTAACTCCTCTATATAGGCATAGCCATCCATATCGGGAAACATATCCTCTTCTTCCTGCACTGGCTCCAATTCCATAAAATCATCCAAATCTAAATTATGAGGATTTTCAAATTCCCTTTCCACCGGCTGTACAATGCGACCATAATCATATTTACCGTTGGAAGTTCTTAAAGGTTCAAAACCACCACCGCCGGAATCATAATCTTCCTCATCATTGAGCGGTTGTTTGACCACATTGCCAAACATAACATTACGTGCCTGCTGCTGCAGCCAGGCCGAATATTCCGAGTCCATATCCTCGGCTGGATGCATTTTAATGCGTCCCGTTATAATGGGCCGGCCATGATAGCCCGATTCCTCGGCTGTTTGCTTAACCAAACCCATGACCATTAAACGCTCCCTTTCCAATTGGGCCAAATCGGCCAGTTCCTCATTTAAACGATTGCTGGTGGTTTGAAAGGGATTCGAGTTGGAAGGTTTATTTAATTGAGCTGCATTGTGTGTAGCGCCATTATTGCTCGAAGGGTTATTAGACCCGGCCGTATTGGAGCTGGTTAAATGCAAAGCATATAGGCCGCTGTTCACCAGCAGCACACAGACTAGGGTCTGTAGCAGGGAGAAGAACATTTTCTTTTTATTGAGTTTTTGCAGGTATTTATTAAAGACTGGTATTTTTGAAATTTTTGTGGATTTTGCCAGGGAATGTTGAGGTGTTGAAACAGCTTTTTTTTTGTCGAGGGGAGTTTGTTTTTAGTTAAAGGCTGCTAAATTTAGTTAATAATTTTAAGCAGCCGTTGCTTCATTATATGTTTAGGTTAGAAATTTTCAAAAATTATTATTTGTGGCTGCTGCTTAGGTGTTGTGTTGTAGGTTTCACCAGGATAATTTGATATTTTGCCAAAGGCAAGTTTTTGGTTTTTTTTTGCTCTAGTAGCCAAAACAACAGGGTAAGTTAAAGCAACTAGAAGTTAGGGTGTTGGTTGTTGGCTTGTTGCTTCCGTTTAGCTGTTTCTTTTATTCTATTACTTTTTAGTTCCTACTCTCTCTGCCTCTCTCTAGCTCTCCCTCTGTATGTCTTGCCTTTTTAAGCAAGATTTTCTTTTGCTGTTGAGTGTGTGTGTGTGTTGTTTTATGTTAAGCTGTAGGGGTTTAACATTTAGCTGTACAATGGTTTGTCTATTTGTTAAAACTCTATTGTATTTTAACTTTATGTTGAGCAGTCTTTTATTCTTGTTGTTTTTTTTGTTATATTATTTATATATAAATAATGCTTTCAACTTGTTGTTGTTGTTGCTGTACTGTTGCAAGCTTTATATGTTTATATATATATATTGTGCTTATGCGAGTTTGTTGTGTCTCTATCTTTAACTATTTAAGCAAATGTCTATCTTTCTTTTACAATTGTCTGTTTGTCTGTCTGCCGGTATGGCTGACTGCTTTATTTAGCTGTCTATTCTATTGTTTCAAAATCAATAATCAATGTTGTTTTTGCTTTAACCCAGGAATTTGCAAGTGTGCTTTCGTTGTTTGTTGGCTGAACGTTGTTTTTTTTTGGATTTTTTTTTACTAGTTGTTTTTAAACTCCTGTTGTTTTGCTGGAGTTTGGAAAGTTTGAATTTCCTTTTTTTCGTTGCTTGAAATATTTATTTCCTTAGCTAGTTTTCTGGTTATGTTCCTTTGAAACTGGAAGTTTGTTTAGTTTTAGTTAAAGCTGCTCTTTAACTTTGAAAGTTGTGGTTTTATTTGTAATGGAATGTTTTGTTAAATATTCTTTTATAGCAATCGTTTTTTAATAATTTTTTCCCAAATCTATAATTTTTTTTAAGTTTTTTGTTATAAAGTACTTTTTTTAGTACTTTTTTTAGTTCACTTTTGTTAGATCTATTATGAATATAAAGTAAATTTATTAAATTTTTGTTTCATCAAACAAATTTCTTCACTTTTTCTTACAAACTTTTTAACAAAAAGTACTTTTTTGGTACTTTTTTACTTTGTTACAATTGATTATTAGGGAAATGTTCATACTTTTATTGGAGTTTTCCTATAAAACACTTTTTTTGCTACTTTCTCCCTCTCCTACCATAACAGTTTTATACTGAAATATCAATACTTTTACTAAAAAGTACTTTTCTGGTACTTTTTTCTATTTAGAAAGCTTTTTTTCTTTAAAAGTATGTAAATTAAGGGATTTTAATTGCAGAAGGGTACTCTTACTGTTCTCTAAAGTTTTTTGCAAGCTATCTACTACTTTCCAGCAGTTTTTATTTGAGTTCTTTTTTTGCCAAAAAAAGTACTTTTTTGGTTCTCTTTCTTCTCTCCTATAATGACTATTTAACAGCTTTCTCCTTTCAACTAAATGTCATCACTTTTTCTTCGATATTTTGCTAAAAGTGACAAAAAAGTACTTTTTTATATTAAACAACCAATTTTCCCTTTTATAAGTACTTTAATAGGGAATTTTTGAATGCACAAAGGTACTTAGAAGCTTTTCCCTGTTATTTACTTATATAAAGAACTTTTTACAAGCTTCCTACTACTTTTTAAAGAGTTGTGAAATATGGTACTTTTTAGCTGTATAGCAAATTTTGTGAAAAAGCAAAAAAAAAGTACCCCAAAACGTACTTTTGTACAAATCTAATTAAAACTTTTTAGACATTTAGCAAAAGCACTGGAAAAACTGTAAAATTATTAAACAAAAGTACTAAATATCACAATTAGGAAGTTTTAGCTAAAGGCCCTCAAAAACTTGAATGTGTATCTTTAGGTACTTATTTCTGGTACTTTCTGTTTAATTGAAAGTATTCCAATTTAAAGAAATTTCCAGTTTTTGGATTGAAGTTTTTGTAAAGTATTACTCGATGTTTAATTCAAACACTTTTTGTTAATTTCTTCTCAGTTTTGCGATTAAGTTCTTGTAATTTAAAAGAGCTTTTACTACTATAACTTATATTAAGCTTAAGCTTACTTAGAATAAGTTTTAAGTTTCAGTGCTGTTTTGAAATTCACTAGTCAGATCTAAGTAAAGTATAGAATACTTTGTAAGCTTTTCAATAAACTTGAGCAAGTTTATAGTTATAGTTTGTTAGCTTTTATTGTCCAGTGCTTTTGATCTTTATCAAGTTTGTAGTATTCCTTACTGAGCTTTAAGATTTCTCAAGATCTTTGCCTAAGCTTTAACTTTGCTGACAATATTTCTTTTTGTGATAGTTTAAATGGCGAACTGAGAGAAGCTTTAGAAAGATCTATAAAATAAAGCTTTAACACATACCCATAGCTTTTAACTCTTTATACAGTTTGCCGTCGTATTTTGTTAGTTCTTTCTTTGTCTGGTTTCTAATATGTTATAGCTTTATTTAGATTGTAAGTTATAGCTTTTTATCTCAAACTTTGTTGAAACTTAAGAATGCTTTAGATACTTTTAGATCGTTTGCATACTTTTGTGTAGAAGTTAGCTTTCTTGCTGTTCAAATATATTTATAGCTTTATTTTATATAGTTTTGTAACTTCGGCACAAATATAGCTTTAATGCTTAATCGAGTAGGAAGCTTTTTGTCTTAAACTTTTCTAAAACTCTCTGCACTTGAATCTCGAGTATAATTGTTTATAGTTATTTTTAGATCTTATCTAACAGCTTTGTGTATATTGTTTTGGAACTTCAGAAATCGTAAAGCTTGAGCAAGCCGGTAGCTTTTTAGTTTAAACTTATCTAAAACTTAGCTTTTTAAGCTTGAATATATTTGTTTCTAGATCATTCTAGATCTTTTGAATACTTTTGTATAGAGGTTAACTTTCTAGGCTGTTCTGAGTTATTTAAAGCTGTATTATGATTATTTTGGAACTATAAAATTCTTAAGCTTTTCTACACCTATGGAATACTTTCTTTGCTCTTCAAGCTTGATTAAGTTTTGAAACTTTTCTAGATCTTTTGAATACTTTTATGTAGGAGTTAGTTTTTCTCTATTTACTATATGATATTTGCAGCTTTATTTATATTATTTTGGAACTTCTGAAAAGAGGTACAAAGCTTTAAAGCGTTTGTAGTTTTTTGACTCAAACTTTTCTAAAACATAAGAACACTTTCTCTCTGCTTTTCAAACTAATGTTTATTTATTGATTTTTTTCTAGAGCTTTTGAATTTGCAGGAGTATACTTTGGAACTTCAGAATTCGTCAGTAGCTTTAAAGTTTAAGTATATTGTAGATTTTTTTGTGTTAAACTTTTCTTAAACTTTTGAATACTTTATCTCTGCTGTTATAGGCTTAAATAGGTTTGTTTAAAGAATCTTCTACAGCTTTTGAATACTTTTGTGGGGGAGAAAGCTTTAATACGAAACTTTAGAATTCGTTTAAAGCTTTAATGGTTAAGCAAGTTTGTAGCTTTTAATCTTACTTGCTTCCTGCTACTTGAGTATGTTTGTTTATAGACCGTTCTAGATCTTTGGAATAGTTCTGAGTAGAAGTTTGCTTTCTTTACAGTTCGAAGAGGTCTAAAGCTTTACAGAGAGTAGCTTTTAAGCGTAAACTTTTCTAAAACTATAGAATACTTTATACTCTGCTTTTCAAGCTTAAATATGTTTGTTTAAAGATTGTTCTAGATCTTTTGAATAGTTTTGTGTAGGAGGCAGCTTTACTTTGAAACTTCTGAATACGTTTAAAGTTTTAAAGCTTAAGCAAGTTCTTAGCTATTTGTTTTAAAGTTTTGAATACTGGTTTTCTGCTACTAGAACTTGAGTATGTTTGTTTATAGATCTTTCCAGATCTTTTGAAAAGGATTTTGCTTTCTTTACAGTTCAAAGAGTTTAACAGCTTTTTAGTTTGTAGCTTTTTCTAACTAAACTTTTCCAAAACCATAGAATATTTAAGCTCCTCAGCTTCAAGCTTGTGTTTATAATTTTTTTAAGAACTTTTAAATACATTTAGGTTGAAATTAGCTTTCTTGCTGTTCTATGTAGAAAAATTCGGTCCAAGTTTTTAGAAATTTTTTTCAAAATTTCAATTTGTGAAAGTTTGTGAAAACATTTTATTGATAATTTTAAACTTTTTTGCTCTGGAAGCAATTTCTTTAAAAACAAACCTGTTTATCTTAAAAATCTACTAAAATATTTTTTAAAAATTTCCTTTTTATTCAGCTGCTAACACTTACAAAATCTGGAAAACTCCAATTTATTAAACATTTAAATCCTTTTTTTGGAATTTTGGCAAAATTTCTTAAAAACACTTTTTTACAAAAGAAATTTTTGTTAAATGATTTGTTAATAATTTACTTGTTTCTTTTACACTTTTGGCGACGGCTTTTTTACAATTATTTTGATTTGAATTTCTTTTCGACACTTGGCATTTTCTTAAGAAAAACTTTTTAACTTTTTAACTTTAAGTATTTGATTTTTGGTTTGAAATTTCTTTTATTTTGAATTATTTTATCTTTAAAAGCACTTATTGGTTTTTGTTTGGTTGTATGTGTGTTTTAATTATTTTGTTTTTAACAGGAACTTTAATTTTAATAAAATTTTCAAATTGTTTTATATAGAAATTATATATTTTTTGGATTTTTTTTTTAACTTTAGTTTTAAAAAGCAGCAAATCAACCAGTTGCTTTCGTATTTATAAAGGATATAAATTTTATTTAAGTCCTTTAGCTTACGCACACCAATTTGTGTGTGTTTATGTGTGTTTCTTCCAAGTGTATGTGTGTATTTTTTCTGGCTTTATTGTTGTGTATTTGCCAGTAGTTTGTCTTTTGCTTTTAGCTTTTGTTTTTCTCTAAAGACAAGTTATTTTTAGTGCCGTGTTTCTTTTTTTTTTTTTTTGGTGTATATTTTTAGGCGTTTTATTTCTATTTTTTCTTCTTACTCTTAAGTTTCTTTCGACGTCTTTTTTTTTTGAGTAACTTTTTTCTTAGACTTTTTAGCAAAAGTTAGATAACTAGTAAATCCTTAGGGAATAACTAATTAGTTTTTTTGCTGCTGTTGTTGTTAGCAGAATTTATTGTTTGTTTTTCTTTTTAGTCCACAAACTAAGAAACATTTTTTCGTTAAAAAAGCAAGAAACTTTAAAATTTAAGTTGTTTTTTTTTTCTTTAAATAAAAGGAACTTTTTTAAATGTTATTTTATTTCAAAATTTAAAGAAACTTTTTAGAAAGATTTATTATTTTTTAAAAAATTTTTAAAAATTCTTTAGCACTTTTCTTCACTTTTCTTCACTTTAACAAAACACTTTTTCTCACTTTTAATTATAAGTTTTATTTCTTTTCTTTCTGCGAAAAATTCCTTCACTTTTTGTTTAGTTAATTTTCTTTCTGTTTGCTTTTTTTTTAAATTTAAATATTTTGTTAAACAAAATTTATTTATTATTTTCAAAAATATATTTTTATAGCTTTTATTTTTATTAATTTGAATTAAAGAAAATTTGTCCTTCCTATCATATGAACCGACGAGCAAGGACTCGTCGTCTCAGCAGGTTTCGCCTGTTTGTCTACTGTAAAAATTCTCGCATTCGTTAAGTGCTGCTGCTACTTGCGTTGTGTTGGTTGCCTTTCTAATGTCGTTATATTTACAGTCCTTTCGCCTGTTCGCTCTGATATTTGTTATTGTAGTGTTTTAGTTGTTGCTGTTCTTATTGTTTTTGTTGCTTACAATATTCTATTCTATGTTCATTCAAAGTATGAAGTGTTTTTTTTTTTTTTTTTTTTGTTATTCATTCTTCAGTCATCCATACTTTACTCACAATAAGTTGTTGTTGCTACTGCTGCAGACAATGCTGCTGCTGCTTTTCCTGTATACTATAGAGTAGCTAAGGAGGTATGTACAAAGCTACAAACATATGTGTGCTCTTAAGAGCGTTTATAATATGTTTCGTTC